CGCAGTTAAGAAAATTGACGTTCACTCTTGCTTTGTGCAGTGAACCAATTCTAATTATTTTTTATCCGATTATTATTTTTATACCTTTCTTTTCATCTGCATTTCAGTGCTGTGCATTCCCAACTGTGTCTAGGAAATGGCTTTTTTATTGATAAAGATGATTTTTTTTGTTGGGGGGGATCGAAACCAAAGGTACCTTCTCTGACCTTGTGAGTCAGGCTGTCCGTCCATGATAGATTTGAGCCCCTCTGATCTGCGCTTCTCTTTTCCAATTGTAGGAAGGTTAGGGTGATAATCACATTTGTGCCGGGTCCCGATAAGAGCAGAAAGCCTCTGTAAAACACCCGGGATCTCTGCTGTAAAACTCATAGCCCTTGTCCCCGGCGCTGGGGTGGACCAGAAGGCGTGGGAAGCTTGCTGGAAGTGGCACGTCCTGCACTGAGGCCCCGTGATACGGAGTCTTTGTTCCTTTAACGGGGAAGCAGGATTTATACCGAGACGCTGAAGCAGTGCTGGGATGAGGTGCTTTTTTATCCCCGTCCCCCATCGGGTGATCAAACGGCATCAGTGGTGGAGAACCGCCACCTCGCTGCGATCAAGCTCAGTGGTAGGTGTCAGTGCCGGTTCGAGCAAAGACCTCCGTGTAAACACGACCCCCAGCTCCAGCTTCCCCGCTGCTCTCCCTGACTCCCCCTGCTAGCCGCCTGCGCTAATTGCAGTGTTCCGCACTGCACATAAAACTTACCTGTCAGCTGCATTTTCATAGCTGAGGCCAAATACTCCTACAGATGATTAATATATTTAGCCGCATAGCTAGCAAGTAGCACGCATGGCTAGGTTCTGCAAACATGCCGTGACGGACGATGCAGTGACGGCCTGCTTGTAAGAAATAATGGGTTCAAGACTGTCTTACAATGTCTTGTAATGTGTTAAAACCTCAAACAGTGCTGCATTGCTGACTGCATCAGGTTGCTCCAAAACTAGGCAGTAAATCCTGACTCTCTTAAGCGGCTGTAGAAGGTTCTCTCCCTTGGTCTTCACTGTGATAATCCTGCCTTGTTCTTTAGCTACACGCCTGGCCATAAGCCCCTCTGCAGGATTTAAAGGCGCACGGTTCACCAGTCACACGTGTTGAGCTCGGAGTACATCTATGGCCTTACAACCTATTATATGTCAACATACATTTGCTGCTGTGATGTGTCCTGTGGTCTGATCACATCGTGATATATTTTACCCATAGGGGGCGATCCCACTCCTCAGAATGGATAATGATGGCCTTTGGCTTCCTGGTGGAGAGGTGATCTTCATTTAAGGAGGCCCCTCTTTAGCCCTCCTTGTCCATGCCAGACTGTGAGGTGATCTGCATGGACAAGGTGGAGTCAGTTTTTTCCATAGTGTCCCCTGACTCTCACCCAATTTTTGTAACTGAGGCTACCTACCTGGGAAGATGAGTGAATGATGAATGTTACATTTATATGGCGTTTTACAGAACCACTGGGGAACCACTTCAGTCGGCACCACTATGTAGCCCCCACCTGATTATGCGACTGTGTAGCAGCCATTCTGCACCAGCATGCTCACCACACAGTAGCTAAGGGGGTGGAGGAGCAGGAGAGAATTCACCAGCTAGGTATAAGGGATGATTAGGAGGCCTGATTTGAAAGGGCCCCCATCCTCACCTAATCAGCTTATCAAGGCTTGTAGTTGAAATGTTTTGCCCCAGAGCCTGTCCTCAGGAGAACATCTTCAGAACCCCCCCCCCCCCCCCCCCCCCCCGAGAGAGGCAGACCAGCACCCCGCAGGCCGTGGGACCTGTCCGCTGTGTCCCTATGTTTAGAACAGCGTTACTGGGACACAGAATGAAGCCTGGGGCCGTTATACAAAGAAAAGGTTTCTTTAATTCTGGCCCCCCAGCTCCCCACCTATAAGCCCCTGCTGAGAGCTCAGAGCACAGGCCCAAGGGGGGTGCGATTGAGCTTTTTAAGACTCTTTTTTTGCACGATTTCCCCGCCAGCGCTCCCTATGGTGTCTGGCATCCGCTCAAGGCTGTTTGTGCAGCAGTGGGCTTCATAGCCGGTCCGCCTGCATCATTAGCATAATCATCTGTCGAGCTTTAGCCGCGGTATGCTAATAGTAGCGTTTCGGTGCAAGCGCCTGACTTCCTGTGGTGTTTATTGCTCATAATTACTCAGCGCGGTGATTTTTTTCCTTCTTCTTTTTAACCTCCCCCCCCCCCCAACCCCACTTTGACTTTTTATTCCGGTCTTTTGGCTTGGTGTTTTCCAGAGTCAGTGATGTTGTGCCAATCAATTTAGGTAGGCACATTCCTACCCAATATTTTGTAAAAATGTTATGTATAAATGTATTTTTCAGTCAACCAATAACTTGCCTAAATTGACTATGAATAACAGGTTGTTAAACGTGCGGTCAGGGTGGTCTGGCCAATAAGTGAGCTTCCTCCGTCAGATGGCATCTCTTAATCCCCTCCCCTAAGCGTCGTCATTCCCGTCATCTTCCGATAACGCTACACATCATCAATGAGTTGTTACATCGTGACATTCACGACTCACATGTCTGCAGTAGTAAACAAGGTTAGCTGAAAGTTTGAATGTATAATAGTTATATAAAATTTTAAGAACATTAATATCAGCGTATGTGTATTTTTTCTGTCTTGCGTGGTTTTGAAACGGTGCCTTCTCTCAAATTCGGTTTGCAGACCGCCACTGCACTGCATGCAGTGGTGCCACGCCACCTTAATAAGAATCCTCCAGGCGTGTAGCAGCCACTGTCCCCTGCCTAATGGCCCTTCCCTAACGTTCTCTCCCTGACACAGCCAGCCGCTCGCCGTATGGAGACACCTACACTCCTTTAATACCGTCTAATATGTTTTACAGCTTCGTTAAATGTGCCGCCGTAATGTCTTCCCAGTTCAATATCCTCTGTTTCGACAGGAGATATTAAAAATACTCGGCCTGTGTTTATTACTTTATTACCTCCTAAAACATCGTGAGTAATGGGACAAGACGCCTCTTAATCACATTTGGCTGTTGTCCTGCCCTCTTGGGTAACGGAGAGGAATCACAGCGGTGGCCGGCTGCAGGGACACATCAGAAGGTCCGGTGGTTCCTCCTGAGATGGTCACAGGATGCCAGGGTGTCCTTCCGGGCGGGTGGGGGTGGGGTCTGGGTCAGAGTCGGGGTCAGCAGGACACGTGCTACATGAAGCCTGGGCATCTTATCGACACCAGATGGCTCGAATCCAGAATCAAGAGCATGGATCCATCTGTCAACCTTGTGTGACCGCTTATCCAGTGCAGGAGCTCAGTGAGCCTGCAGCCTACGCCAGCATGCCCAGTGCCAGTGCCCAGTGCCCAGTGCCAGGGGCCACTCTGGGTGGGATGCAAGCAGAATGTGGAGCAGATTCTCTTGATATTTAATTTGGTTAATAAAGATCAGCAGTGGCATGACTATAAAGAAGGAGAGAAAACAACATTTGTGAAATTACATTGCTGGTTTCCATGATATACCCCGGAGCCGTCGTCTCTTGGTCATTTTACCGTGATTGTTCCTCTTCATGTTGATTCTTTTCTTCACGGGTCGTTGATCCAGTAGATGTGTGGATCATGTTATCGGTGGTAAAATAAAAGGCAATGTATTTAATGGATTATGAGACTAAAATGCAAATTAAGGACTTTTCTGATTGGTCCGTTATCTTCATATAGCCAGACTGGATGTGCAGACCCTCCTGCAGACTGCATTGCGCATGTTTGGCTGCTTGCAGTCTGGAGCTGGATGGTACTTGTCTGCTTCTGGACTGTTTCTGCTGTTGAGTTTAGGCTTTAGCATGTGCAGCTCTGGTTAACATGGACTCTACAAGAACCCAAGTCAGCCATGGTGTTTACCTCAAGCAGTCTCAGGCTTTGTTTTAGAGCTGGGAGATCTGCTGTTCTGCTCCGCTCCATGTGCCCATAATGCGCGGTCCAGCTGAAGAGTGATTCACGACGGATGAAATTACCACGATTTGCCAACCAAGGGCCCAGGATTTGTTCGTGCCAGTGAGAATGGTGCCGATGGCGGGATTCCTAGCTCTGTTTCACAAGTGTTAGTGAATGTTATCTCTTGGACGGAGCCTTGAAAATGGAACAAAGAGAATGGAATGGGGCAATCTCAAGGATTGCACTTGAAACCACGATAGCCGTCTTTCTTCCAGACAACTCGGGTTTTTATGCGAAACCCTGAAACTGCCCCTGACGGGACGGCTGATTAGCAGGGCGCTTCTGCTCGGTGAAGCGGGCGGCGGGGAGGGCTGCACCAACCCGCCACTTTCAGCAGCAGAGCCCCTGCCTGATTAAACACAGCCTAACGAGCACCACTGAGAGGACTCCGGCAAGCGCGTTACGGGGCGAGGAACCGTTAGACCTCCGCCTGTGAGGCATCCCTCCAGAGGGTTCACGTCGCCAACTAGGACAAATAGGAGTACAATTTCAGGTCCCCCCCCCACCAAACATACACTAATGGTACGTCTCATCTTAAGGGAGCTTTACTTCTGCTGTCAGTCACTGTAATCTGCACTGGACTTGTGATGAATGCTGGGCAAGTCTGCTGCGCACTTCTGTCATAAATGCAGGATACGACAGGCCAGACCAAAGGCTGGAACACAGGGAGAGGACAGGAATCCAGCAGCACATTATTACACAGAGATGCACCAGCCCTCTGAATACCGAACGCAGCTTGTTGTGGTTGGACAAACTCAGTCCAACAGTTAGGATTTTTCCGCCTTTCCTGTATGAAACTTATATTTTTATATATTTAACTGTCTAAATGTCTTTTAATGATGTGCATCAACTTTGCAGTTTGTTCAGTCGGTGTTTGGATTTCCTAATCTGAAGGTTTTGATCATTTAAAAGAGGATAATCCATTGTTTGCTGGAGGCGTGTTCGGCCTGTTCTCCAGTGCCTTGGAGTTTATGGGGCCCCTTCAACCTGTGTGTGTCTGTCGCAGGGGTCAGAAACGCAAGCTGGACGACAACGACGACGGAGACGGTAACCAGGGCGACGGCGCCGATTCCTCCAGCGAGTCCAGTAAGGAGGAGGGCAGCAGCTCCGAGGCGGACGAGATGGCTGCCGCCCTGGAGGCCGAACTCAATGACTTTATGTGACACGGCTGGGGATGTAAACGCGCTTTTCTGCCTGAAGCAATCGTATGTCCAACCAGAATGTTCCGGGGGCGAGGAGCCGAAGGGGCCCCAGAGGGGTCAAAATGCGTGTATAAATAGTTATGCAGCTATAATAGATGATTTTAGGGGTAAAAGAGTAATTATTGAAACACAACGGTGTTAATGTTTTATTGTGTAATAAAAAATAGAGGGAAGTTTGTGGATTTCTTTTGTGTTGTTTCAGTTATGATTTTTTTATAAGTATAAATATATGTAAAGAAAAAACGATTGGTTGAATATGCCAAAGAGTTGAAATGGGCACGTCTGAGCCTGCAGATACATCTATGTACTTTACCAGCTTCATTTTCTCCTCTTGTGATTATATTTCCTTTATATAAAAGACACTCGATTTACCAGCAGTGATACTATGACGCCTGAATGTGTTGAATTAAGAATTTTTCTGTCCTTTTCCTTAAGCAGACCTCAAGAGCCTCTTAAGTAAGAATGAAATTAACTAATGGAAGAAAGAAAACACTGCATTTGAGGCCTCTGTGTTAAACTAACGCAGTCCTGACCTAACTGCAGGGGAAGCCAATGGGGTACAATCTTACTGACAGGTGGGTCGTGCGTTCTGGTGTATTTCCAGCTGTTATCTGTAGACCCGATGCTCTGTGCCCCCCCCCCCCCCCGGCCCGCCCTGGATGATCACGACGGCTGTCCAGCCTAAGGGGTTTCCCGCTTCTGTACGGGGGTTGGGACAAGCTGGTTTTTGGGCTGTTTCAGGTATTTGTCATACTGTGCTGTGACTCCCGGTCCCCGTGGCACATTGCCGTGTGACCGTCAGCTGCCGGCGTTTCGTGGTCTTGGCCACTTCACCTTTTGTTTGACCCCCCTCCCATTTTTGTCTCTTTGTTTTTTAGTGCTGTGTTTACTTTTAATGACAGAACTAATGTGAAGTTTTTTGTATATTCTATTTCATACTTGACAAGAGAGAAAGATTCTTTTCATTTAATAAAGATTTGTTTTTTAAAAATCTGCTGCTTTCCTGGAGGGTTAAATCATGAGGACAGAATAGCTGTTCTGCACGTACGCGGGACGTATCCGTTGTCTACCTGTCAGTGAAACCCAGCTATGAACTTCGTCCACTGCTCATTCGAGTTTTAAGTAGGTACGGCTTTTGTCTGCCTGAGGATAAATCAGATGTTTCCATATGCTTTTCCACAAGAAGATACTAGTGTCACCTTTTTGTGCGATAAAGCTCTTTCTGCAAAGGAAAGTTTCTCAACTTTCCTTTGCATCACACTTAAAGTAAACAGCTTATTTAAATACAAGTAAGCAATATATATTTTGAAGTTTTTGCTCATGGTAACAGATTAGCTGTAAAAGGTACTTATCACTGTTACAAAAAGGCTTTGCACTGAGGAAATTGGCTATGCAGTAACATTGTTTAATTATTGATGCAGAAATATTCTCCATGGTTTCCCTGTACTCAGGAGACGGTGCAAAACTTACTTTAACAGCTGTGGTGAGGACAAGCATCCATATTGTGAGAGAATTATTTTACCAATTATTTTGAATTATTCTTTAAAATGTATTAATTCTCTTGGTTCTACAATAGCTATTGATTAGAATTAAATAATGTTGAATCTCAGTTGACATAGGGTCTCCTAAATCTATTTCTGCCATTTCAGTGTGGCCCAGTCCCTCTATAACCCCGGGAGCCATTTCAGTGTGGCCCAGTCCCTCTATAACCCCGGCAGCCATTTCAGTGTGGCCTCACTGTTTCTCTGCTAAGAGGTTGTCCAGAAAAGGTTAAACTGAAATGGCAGGACAGTTTTATTACTGGCAGTATCATTATATGAGAGATGCTGCAATGGTCTCTGATAGGTTTACATTGCTACACTTCTAAATGTGTCATTTACCGGCAGGTACCTGTGGTGCTCACTAAGTATTCGATTTATGAAGTGGGGTCCTGGGGATGAACCTGTTTCAGTCGCTCGTTTTCCCAACAGAAAAATAACAAATCAGTTAGAAATGTCAAAGGAATTGGCAGGAGCATCCAATGAAAGAGGAAATCTCAGATCTCAGCCCACATCATGCGCTGGCAGCTCTAGCCCCTTTCTTCAGCCTAATTAGGCTTATGCGTCCCAGAGGCTGCAGAAACGTGAGCTTATGAACTTGCTTGTGGGGATTTGGGCCTGAAGGAACGAGCAGTTCCAATAAATCTTTTCTTTTATTGGCTATAAGAATGGCAAGCTCCCCCCCATGTTTTATCCCCCCTCCCCGGGAACACCTTTTCAGTAGCTGCTTATGATCAGATGGAGTCTCTGAAAGGAAGTATATTTTTGGCACTTCAATGGCTTTCTCTTACAGCGCCGCAGGAGATGATTGGCATGCCTTTGAGCCAGTCACGGTGAAGCCACAGTGGGGACCGGCTCCTGAATGGCTGACAGAATTAGGCGGAGTCTTCATGTGCTGTCATTTCAGATTCAGATCCACAGGTTATAAACATTTCATACTAAGTAAACATCCATCCATTTTCTGAAACCACTTATCCTATTCAGGGTCGCGGGAGGTGCAGAGCCCGTCCCGGAGGCTACGGGCAGAAGGCAGGGAACAACCCAGGAAGAGGTGCCAACCCATCGCAGGGCACACTCATACTCACACACCAACCACTCACACATACTGTATACACTATGGGCAATTTGGCAACTTCAGTCAGTCTCGGCATGTTTTTGGATTGTTGGGGGAAACCGGAGTACTGAGTAAACATATTACAGTAAATCCTTGGATTGCGAGTAACTTGGTCTGCAAGTGTTTTGCAAGATGAGCACAATTTTTTAATAAATTTTATCTTGATAAACGAGCGAGGTCTTGCAATACGAGTATTACGTATACGCTTTGTCTGCCGAGCATCACGTGATCACAACTGAGCTGATGGTTCTTCTCTCTCTCTTGCTGCGGGATTGTAGGTAATTGTTTTTCATTCTCGGTCTCAGTCAGCATGCCTCACTCATATAGTCAAAATTTAGTAGAAAAGCACCACCAGAATAAGGGCGTAGCAGTGCGAGCAATGAATCTGTCCGCAAAATCGAAATGGAGGCAAAAGCAGCTGTCATTGGATAGGTTCCTTGTTAAAGTCGCACAAAAAGATTCTAGTGAGCCAACAGAGAGCAGTGATTCCGTTAGTTATAGTGAAAGTCGTCCTACAAAATAACCCTCCTCTTCTTCTCTCTCTCGTCTCGCTCACATCATCCACGATTGCTTTCAAAAGGTAAAGAGCAGGTTAATTTGTTTTATGTATTTTTACTTTATATTTTATATTAATCACTTTTATATGAATATTTTTGGGTTGTGGAACGAATCATCTGAGTTTCCATTATTTCAAATGGGAAAATTCGCTTTGATATACGAGTGCTTTTGATTATCAGCACGTTTCCGGAACGAATTATGCTTGCAAACCGAGGTACCACTGTACTGTGAAATGTCTACTACTTTTACGAATGAAATATGCAACACTTCGTAATTTGTATTAATTATACGTTGAAGGTGTCCTATAATAATAATTGGATGGATGGTATTGAACATGATTTATTAGTCTGCCATGGAATACTGTGCACCCAAGCCTGGTGTGTGATGCAGTGCTGGAATGTCCCTGGTGTCGACCTGACAAGTTAGTGACCACCAGCCCCAATCCTGAAAAATGGGCAAAAATTACTTTCTAGAGCTGTTAAGACAAATCACAATGAAACTACTCTACTACCTTATTAACAATCTAGTAATAAAGCACTTTTCACACAAATTTCTCCATTTGAATTTCAGTGTATGGGCGGGCAGTGAATGTCTTTGATGGCAGTGAAAGATCTTCACACTAGGTGATTTCCGTTGGAATGTAAGTGTGAGTTTAAGAATGTGACACCAGAGTCCCTCATTCCGTAAAAGACTTTTCCCAATCCTGACTCCAGGGGAAGGCAGTAAATGCACTTGATCCCCCTACCCCCCCCCCCCCACAACCCCGCATTGACACTGAGCGATGGACGGGCAAGATGGTGACATGACACAGGTTCAATGACTTGTGTCTGATGCCAGCGAGCTTCGGCTGCCCGTGTGCGTGGAGCTGTACGTCACCTGCTAACACTAATAGTGAGCAGTTTCAGGCTCACTGCCCAAGCTCCCCCCCCACCCCCACACTCTCTCTGCGTAGACCAGCACGCCCCAAGTCTGTCTCAAAGAGAGCTTTCATTGACGGAGGCAGATAAACCTCTGCCTGGGCCTTAGATTCCTGAAAATAAACTTTCGCATTGCTTTATTCATCAAGCCGATCGTTTGCATGGCGGTATCTGGTGTGTAAGCATACGTGAGTTACCGTGCCCTCACTAATTAGCCCAGAATGAAAAGCCTGTGTCACAGCAGGTTGGTGGCACCCCAGAAACATGCAGAAAGTCTGTGGATTCACTGGTAAGTGCCTAAGCCGAGTCTGACACCTGAGGCTTACACACAGGACGCCCTGAAAGCAGCAGGCAGGACAGAAAGAGCAGGAGATTTGCCCTGTTCCCCACCAGAGGATCCTCGCCCCGGTTTTCTGTGCGGATCGCGGGACTCACAGGATTAATGACCTCAGACTTGAGCCCAGGGACTTGGGGTCCAGGCCGCAGTGACCTCCAGAGCACTTCTACTTCATTTCTTAATATTTAGGGGTATGTTTTGGCAGTGCACCAGGTGGCTGACTGGTTAGGTAATTGGACCAGAAGATTTGCACTCCCAAACGTCTGAATGGGAAGTGCTTTCAGTGCCCTTAAGAAAAGTAGTTGGCCAGAAATGGGCATTGTGTAACATGCAAGCTACCCAAGTAAGTCATCCCGAATAAAGCATGCCTGTCGGGCAAATGCATATTTGATGGTTTCTCATCCTAGGCAAATCAGTCTGACTTCATTCTTGTCGCTGATAGTTTTTGTTGTAACGTGGTTTCCCTGTAACAAACTAGCTTCAGGGGTTATTAATGTAGGATGCATTTTACCTTTAAACTGCTTTAAGAATCTTTTCATAGGTGAGGCTAGGATGGAATGGAATCTATGTACTAGTAAAATGTAATTACGGTATCCTCGTCATCTATCATTGACATGCATCCTAATAGCCGCCTCTGTAATGCTTGTTTAAATTAGTATGTTAATTAATAGTCTGTTTGATAGATGTTGCCCATGTTCTAGTAAAAACCTACACTGTCATAGTGACTGATAATTGAATTTTAATTTTGATTTTAATTGCACATTGTTGGGATTGCCCCCAAGACCCCGAGCAGGATAGGTGGTTAGAAAATGGATGGATTACTGTGATTAATGATTGAATTTGATTACATAAAATACATTACCCAGATGACAAGTCAGCTCCATACTAACAGATAAATTAAATTATTCATAGATTTTATTTATTTTTTTACATTTTCCAAATGTGTGAATGTTTGAATGGGTAGCAAACAGCAATAAAAGCTTATTTTTGTATAAATGTTTGAATCTTGCAAAGCTGTAGAGTTTAAATAGTTCATAGGGAATAATTAATTGAATTAATTGAACACATCAAGTCACAAATACAGAAGGCAGGGGAGCAGCATAAACAGGATGCCAGTCACACACAGGGCACACACTCTCAGACACAACCACACACTATGGGTAATTTAGAGATGCCAGTCACACGCAGGGCACACACACTCTCAGACACAACCACACACTATGGGCAATTTAGGGATGCCAGTCACACGCAGGGCACACACACTCNCGCAGGGCACACACACTCTCAGACACAACCACACACTATGGGCAATTTAGGGATGCCAGTCACACGCAGGGCACACACACTCTCAGACACAACCAAACACTATGGGTAATTTAGAGATGCCAGTCACACACAGGGCACACACTCTCAGACACAACCACACACTATGGGCAATTTAGGGATGCCAGTTACACGCAGGGCTCACACACTCTCAGACACGCACACAAACACACACTATGGGCAATTT